GAGAACTTGGGTTCAACCTCCAGTGCCACAATAAAACAAAACACAACACAAAACAAACAGCTGAAGCAATAGTATGAATTTACAGGCAAAAGCTTTACTTGAGAAGAGAATGGGAAGAGGCTTTAGCCTGAGGGGAAGAAAAGCCGGCGTGGGTACAGCCCTGACGGAGAGAACCGGTCTGGGTCACGCACGGCGGAGAGGGTCCTGCTTCTAGGGCACCGCGGAGGCTCCCCTGCGAGCTCTGCGATCTCGGAGACTCGCGTGCGAGCGTTTTGTCCTAGGTTCCGGGGGCCGCCGCGGCGCCCCCTGCTGTTACAACGCATTTGGTCTTTGTGATGAGGAGGAGCGGCCGGGGTGAGTGGGGGAAACTGGGTAACAGGTCAGATCACGAGTTTGGGCCTGAGAATCCTTGTCTTTTGTCCCATAAGGGCACCTGCATCCCTAGATTTTTTTTTAGAGACAAGGTCATGCTAAATTGCCCAGGCAAGACTCAAATATGCAATCCTCCTGCCTCAGCCTCCCTCAGAGCTGGGATTATGGGTGTGTGCCACCATGCCTGGCTATCAGGCATAATTCTAACATTAAATCATTACACTATACAAGTCAGCTGTGGTGACACTCCCTTGTAATTCCAGCACACGAGTTGCCCGGCGTAGGAGGATTAAAGCTTGAGCCCACTCTGGGTAATTTAGTGATTTCTTACTGTCCTGTCGCACATAGAAACATTTTTTTCCAAAGGGCTGGGAATGTAGCTCAGTGCTAAAGCCATGGGTTCAGTGCCCAACAGCAACAACCAAAACCAAACAAAAAACAAAAACAAACCTCCAGCTGTTCACCTCTAAACAAAATAATCTGTGTGTTTGAGATGCTACCCATTACCTACTGATCAAATAGGGTTAAACTCCACATCAGCCTCTAGGTCAGTGTAGCAGGCAACCAGTGCTTCAAAACCTCTTCCTCCATCCAGTGTGGCTAAAACGTCTTTGATTTTGATTTCTTTTCCTCTATCTCTTCCCTTCCAATTTTTTTTTTTTTTTTTTTTTTTTTTTTGAGACAGGATCTTGGCTCATGCTGTGTAGCCCAGGCTGGTCTTGAATTTACCATGATTCTCCTGGCCCAGCCTCCCACATTCTGGGATTACAGTTGTGCACCACCACGCCTAGCTTTTCCTTTCAATAGGGGACCAGATCTCATTAATATGGGGAGGGGGAAAGACCCATTCTGGCAAGCAGGGACCATCCAAACCACGCTTGGCTGATTCTCAACGTTGTTAGATAAAGAAACAAGGAGAAATTCTATCAGAATCAAAATGGAGTCACTTGTGTCAGTGCTGCCAAAATAGAGCCAGGAGGTCTTGAAGGAAAGGTTCTTTGGCACAGTTCTCTGCCTCTAGAAGCAAAAGCCCCATGATCAAAAAAAAAAAAAAAAAAAAAATCCTCTGCACCAAAGCATATAATAGTCAAGATCCCAGAAATTTAGCACAGGAACAGAATATTAAAAGCTGTTAGAGAAAGGAAACAAGTCACTGGTAAGGAAAACCCATCAGAATCACCACAGACTTCTCAACACAAACCTTCAAGTCACAGAGAGCTTGGTGTGAAGCATGTCAAGCCCTAAAAGAAAACAGCTTCCAACCCAGGTTGAGGTACCTTGCAAAATTATCTTGTGAAATTGATGGAGAAGTAAGATACTTCTATGACAAAGAACAGGTGAGGGAATTCATGACTACCAAGTCAACACTTGTTCTGAAGGGCATTGTAGAAAGAGGTAACAAGGACCACAACTTTGTGTGTGTGTGTGTGTGTGTGTGTGTGTGTGTGTGTGTGTGTGTGTGAGACAGGGTTCTGCTATGCAGTTCAGGCTGGCCTTGAGCTCACTTTGTAGCCCAGGCCAGTCTCGAATTTGCAACGATTCTCCTGCCTCAGCCTCCCAAGTGCTGGGATTACAGGCATGAGCCACCACACCCGGGTAAGGACCACAGCTTCTTGAACTTGAGTGGAATGAATCCGCTGGCAAGGCAAACAGTTAAACAAAGGAGGGGAGGAAACCAACACAGGAAATAACATGATAAGGATAAGTCAGTAGAAGCAAAAGCCAGAACACCAGGTACTTGAGCAGAAAGTGGCACTGACAACCTTGACAAGAGCCTTTAATTTTGGAAAGATAAGAAAAAGATCATTTTCACCGATCCTGAACAATCTTTTTTCTTTTTTACCTTCCATACCCGAAGAGCCATTTGAAGAGAGGCAGTGTTCCCCACAGAACTTTGTAATTGGATGCCCTCTGCTTTGGTTCCTTCTTGTGTAACTTTTATGGGGATGTGGCCTCCCTATGCATACGCTTCAGCAGCCTTTGTCTAAAGAACAAAGCCTGGGTGCAGTGGTGCATGCCTGTAATCCCAGCACTCAGGAGGCCGAGACAGGAGGATCACCATGAGTTCAAGGCCAGCCTGGCTTGCTCAGTGAGGCCTTGTGTCAAACGAAACAAAAGTATTACGGAATGAACAAAGATGAGGAAGCTGTTTGGGGGACCTGTCCCTGGCAGAGTTCTGTAAGGGATGGACCCTTTTGCCTCCCCTCCTGGCTGCTGACCTTGAGATTCACAGAATCCAGAACAACTGGCAACCTCTGCAGTACCCTCCTGGTCTCCAGTACTAACGCTATGTGCGTATCTTGCCTGTGAGCTGAGCCCAGTATCAGTGTTAAGGAAAATACAAGACATAGCCCCAGGAGTTGGAGGTTCATTGTGAAGTTCCAGCCAGAGGAGAGAAAAAAAAAGACACCCACACCCTGGCTGACAGGCGCCGCGCAGCATGTGGCCTTCCTGACTGTCTCCAGCGCCTCCTCCCTGCCCTGAAAAGCCCTCTGCACCCGAGTTCCCCAGGCACAGCCTTGAGGCAGGAGCCCCTCATCCTCCAAGTGCTGACCCTTGGGTGGGCCTGAGTCTCCTCCGCTTTCCCTCGGTTCCTGAAATTTGGCTTTCAAGCAGCGGACAGCCTGGACCTTTGATGCCGGTAACAAGACTGCTGGGAGCATGAGAAGGAAGGGGAAGTGGATGCAAATTACTGAGTTCCAGAGATCCGGAAAGGGACCCTGGGCCGACTGCCTACCTGGATGCTGCTGAGACCCTGGCAGTTATTTTCACCAGAGCCTGAAGCCATTTGCAGCAGTTCTGTGCCCATTTGAGTCCCAGATCTGCTCCTTCCCAGCTGTGTGACCTTGGGCAGGTTGCTTAACCATTCTGAGCTTTCTTGTTGGGAGAGTTAGGTGAGGTACTCTGTAAGCGCTTACTTAGCACAGCACTGAAGATACAGGAGTGCTCTGTAGTTGACTGACAAGGTGAGGAGAGGGTGTCACCCGCACCCACATCCTGTGGTGCGTCCTCCTGTGGGGGAAGGGGTGGAGGAGCTGAGAAGTAGCTTTTCCAGAGGGAGCGGAGTGCTGTGGAGGGGTGCTCCTCTGGCTCTTCCCTAGCTTTGTAAGTACCATTTGTCTCATGGCAAAGTCTTTGCTGCCTAAGTTGAATAGTGGCTCCTGTCTCCTGACTGATAGGGCTACTGTTTTTTTCCTTAGTCAACAAACCCTCATTAAGCTGAGTGTGGTGGGCCAAGCCTGTTATTCTGGCACTTGGAAGGCTGAGGCAGGAGGATTGCTATGAGTTCCAGGCCAGCCTGGGCTGCATAGTGAGGCTCTGTCTCTAAATAAATAAATAAACAAATATTTAATTTGTTTTTCAAAACAGGAGTTTGAACCCAGAGCTACATTCCTGGTCCTTTTTATTTTTTATTTTGAGACAGGGTCTTGATCAGCGACTTTGTTGCCCGGGTTGTGCTTGAACTTGTGGTCCTTCTGCCTCAGCCTTCCAGAGTGCTGGGATGGCAAGCAGGCACACCACAGCCAGCTCCCACAGACATTTTGAGAGCGCTCCTTCCTGCCCCTGCCCACCAATCGGGGGTTCTGAGGGAGCAGAGAAGGGGCTCCCCTCTCCCTAAGAGTCCTCGCCTGCCTGAGGGAAACACGGGGTCCAGTCATGGAGCTGCTGAAAGCTGAGCAACCCCAGGAGGGGCCAAAGCGAGGAGGTGCCCCAGGTCTGCAGAGCCCACTTCTCTGCCTTTGAGGCCTGTCACAGCTGGGGCACGGCGGCCCCTGTTCTGCCCAGCCTGCTCCAGTCCGCCCGCCCTGGCTCTCCCTGGGGCTGAGTGCAGCCACTACCCTGACGCTGCCCTTGTAAGGAGCCAATGCCCGGGGACACCCGAGATGCCCAGTTATAATTAACCCGGACACGTGGCGATACCCCCAGCACCTGCTGCTATGCCCCCCACCCTGTGCTTGAGTCTCCCCTGCTCTCCACAGAGGAGACGGGGAAGTGTGCTCCGAAAATAGCTCCTTTCCAGCTGGCCAGGCCCTGCCTGTCCCCTCCAAGGCGGCCGTCACCCTGTGACACTAGGGCGAGTGGAGGGGAAGGCAACCGTCACCTCTGCCTGCAGCCTTGAGTCCGATTCCCTCTAGCTCAGCCCTACCTCAGTTTCCCCTCAACTGTCCATGAAGGAAGGGGCACCCCCGGTGACAGGCTGCTGGGATTGGCTGCCCTAGGTTCCAGCATAGGCTTTGGTCACTGCCCTCCCTGTGGCTAGGTGACAGGAGACAAAGTCACACAGCCTCTCTGGGCCCTGGTGCCCTGGCCCTGGTTCTCCTGGGGTCACTGCTAGGTTTCCTGAGTTCTGGCCCTCAGCAAGTGGGGAAGTCCAGGACCGAGTTCTGGGGTACAGGCTTTTGGGGGTTGATAGTGCCCAGGGAAAGGCTGGTGGCTGCCACAGACCCAGGGGCCTGGGGAGGGTGGCTTCTACGTGCCTACGACACCTATAGCCCCTGTCCCGTGTTCCCGGCGGGGGGCCAGCTGTTCCCGCCAGCCCGACTCAGCACTTGTTTGGGGAACCAGCCCTCTGGGGGGGCCTGGGCCCAGCCCCTGCGGCGGCCCATACAAGGCCATAGGGCTGGGCGCAAGGCCTGCCTGGGTCTGGCGTGGGCACGGTGCCCAGGCAATGAGGTTCAGCTGCCTTCTGGGCCTCCTCCCTGGGGACAGCCCCTTCCAGCCAATGGTGCAGCCCAGGCGCCCCCCTATATAAGGCGGGGCTGCAGGCGCTCCCTCTGGGTCAGCGTCGCCTCCAGGACACAGACAGCCCCTTCAGCACAGCCCAGCCAGGTACTACCTGGGGACTGGGGATCTGGTGGTGTCCATGGCTGGGGTCCCTGAAGGTGTCGGGGGCTGGTGCGTCACTGGGGGGACCTGTGTGTGGTCTCACTTGCCTCCTGCACACAGTGCTCGGTGTTGCGCAGAGGTGTCTACCCGGGAACCCCCAACCCTTGAGCTTGCCCAGACCCACTGTGACCTGCCTGTAGCACAAGAGGGCTGGGCACAGGGGAACTATCCATCATGGACACAGAGCTCTTGACAGCTGGTGTGACTGCCACCTCCTGCTGGGGACGGGCTGGCCAGGCCCCCTGTGCATTATAGCTTGTCACGGGGAGCTGGGAGCCACAGTGGTGGGAGGTGTCACCTGTCAGGGTCTGCAGGTGTTGGGGGGTCTTTGTGTGTGTGATCTTGTGGGTCCCTGTGACCTTGTGTCTGACCTGCCAAGCTCTCACGAGTGCCTCTATCTGTGTGTCCCTGAGCTTGGGGGTGTGACCGTGTGACTGTTCTCTGTGGTCTGAGTTGCAGCTGAGATCGTTATATGGCTCTGGGGCTATTTCTGCTTGTGTTTCTTTGGGAGTCACTAACTTAAGCTCAGTGCCTTCCCATGGGGGTGTCCCTGGCAGGGAGGGGCGTGGGGACACCCTCTGAAGGGAAGGGGTCCAAGATGGAAACCTAGGATGTCCTTGAGCTCTGAGGCTGGGGTGTGTGTCCTCCCTGCCACCCCAGCCCACCTGTCCTCCTGCTGACTTGGTGCAAGCCGACCCGGAATAGGAGGTGGGGTGGCAGCCAGGGGCGGGGTAGCAGGCGGCTGCCAAGCCCTAAAAATAGCCATCCTGGACCCAGCTGGGAGGTCTGGGCAGGTCCCTGTCCTCCTGCCCCCTACCCTATCCCCGCCCTCAGCTCACCTTGGTCTTGATTTCCCTCCCATAATCCCTGGAGCTGGGCAGGACTGTCCACCCTTTCTGCTGGACAGTTTCGTCTTCTTTCTGGATGTAGTAAATACAAATGGTAACAGCCAGGTGTTAATCCCTAGTAATTACACAGTTGTAATCCCAGTTACTCAGGAGGCTGAGGCAAGAAGATTGCAAATTTAAACACAGCCTGGCAATTTAGTGAGACACTGTCTTGAAAACACACACACACACACACACACACACACACACACACACACACACAAAACAGAGTGTAACTCAGTTCTCCCTGAGTTCAAAGCCCGGTATTCCATAAATAAAAATAAGAGCAACCAGAGCAGCAGCCACCAGGGGGCCCCACATGGGAGCCAGGGTCCCGTCTCAGCTGCCCTGGTGCCGAGCCTCGCAAAGCTTTTCCTGCTGCCTGGCTCGGAAGGTTGGATTCCAAGGAAACTGAGGTCCAGAGAGGCCCAGTGATCGGCCTGGCATCACACAGCAGGAAAAGGGCATAGGTGGGATTTGAAGCTGGTTTGGCTGAGCCTTTTTCCCCCCAAACTGCGGCCCCTGGACTGGAGCCTTGATGGAGAGCTGTTCTTTCTCTGCTCATGCGCCCATTTCCAGCCACACCTCACCTCTGCCTCCCCGGGGCCTGGGAAACTGGGGCCGCAGTGACCTGGCTGAGCAGAGGCCTGTGGGAGCCAAGGCTCCACACATCAACTCGTTGAACCCTTCAGCACTCCCAGGAGGCCAGTGCTGTCCTGGTCCCCATTTCACAGGTGCACAAACAGACACAGAGCAGTTCAGCAGCTTGCCCAAGGCCACAGCTAGTTGTAAGAAGAGAGCTGGGATTAAAATTCAGGCTGTTGGGCCGGGGGTATAGCTTAGTGGCACAGCACCTGTTTGGCAAGCACAAGGTCATGAATTCAATTCCTGGTACTAGAAAAAAAAATTTCAGGTTGTCAATGTGCAGTGGCACACACCAATAACCGCAGTACTTGAGAGGCTGAGGCAGGAGGATCCCTGCCTGGGCTACAGAGTGAGTTCAAGGCCAGCCGAGCCCCACAGCGGGACCCTGTCACAAAAAAAAAAAGGGCCACAGCCTGTCTGACTCCCAAACCTTGCTGGGTTCTCTTGCTCCTCTCTCCCTTCACGAAGGACCCTTTGCTCCTCCCGCCTCAGGTCCCCTCACCACTGCAGCCATGCCTTTCGGCAACACCCACAACAAGTTCAAGCTGAACTACAAGTCGGAGGAGGAGTACCCCGACCTCAGCAAGCACAACAACCACATGGCCAAAGTGCTGACGCCTGCCCTCTACAGCAAGCTGCGAGACAAGGAGACCCCCTCCGGCTTCACCCTGGATGATGTCATCCAGACAGGCGTGGACAACCCAGGTAGGTTGGGCCCCAGTGGCCCTTAGGAACCTGAGGTGGCCACTGGGATCCCGAGGGGTCCCAAGCTTCTGTCTGTACCATGGCAACCGTGAGCATGGGGCAGAGGTGAGACACAGAAGGCTTGGGACAGTGCACAGTCAACCACCCTGTAAACGAGAGTGGTTATAATGTGAGACCTCTTGGAAGCCCTGAGCCTCAGTTTCCTCATCTGAAAAACGGGCAGCTGTGTGGGAAGATTGGAGTTGTGTACCCCAGGGCTCAGGGCTGAGCCTGGAGGCAGGTGTGTACGATCCTTAAGGCCAGGGACGACCCCAGCCCGAGGGGCTTTCTCAAAGGACCCCTGGAAGAGGGGACCAGAACCTAACCCTACTCAGCTGCAATAGCCTGAGACCAAAAGGGCCCCTCTCTCATGGCCCCTGTTCCCCCTGCTGCTGATAAGCAGGCCTTTCATTTATATTTCATGTTATTTGGTACCGGGAATCAAACTCAGGACCTTGTGCTTTCCAGGCAGGAGTTTATGCTGTTGAGCTATGTCCCTGGCCCTTAATTTCTAATTTAAATTTTTTTTATTGTTTGCTTATTTTCCATACTGGAGGTTGAACTCAGAGCCTTCACATGGAGCTACATCCCCAACCCTTTTTAAATTTTTATTTCAAAACGGTCTCATTAAGTCACTTAGTTGCCCAGGTTTGAACTTGCTATCCTCCTGCCTCAGCCTCCCCAAGTGCAGGGGTTACAGATATGCACCACTGTGCCCAGGTTTTGTATTTTTATTGTTTTGGCCATCTGTGGGCAGCACCCACGGCCATCACAGAGTCACACCCTAGCCTGTGAGCTGGACACACACACACACAGCTGAGTCGCCGGGAGCCAGCACCCCTGACCTCAGCTTGCATCACCAGGTCACCCTTTCATCATGACTGTGGGCTGCGTGGCCGGCGACGAGGAGTCCTACACGGTATTCAAGGACCTCTTTGACCCCATCATCCAGGACCGGCATGGGGGCTTCAAACCCACTGATAAGCACAAGACTGACCTCAACCACGAGAACCTCAAGGTCAGCGGCCCCCAGGCCGGGGACAGAGGCAATGACACAGAGATTGGGAGGGTGGGGAGGTGGGAAGAGTGTGGGGAAGGTGAGACACAGAAGCAGTGAGGGGTGGAGACCGAGGATGGAGAAGAGGTCACAGGAGCAGAGTTAGAGGAGGAGAGGGGGACAGGAGGGGAAGGCTCAGAGATGAGCCAGATGGAGGGAAACAGAGATGGGGAGAGAAGAATGGGAAGGAGATCTGGAGAAATAAAAACCCAAACAAGCAACCAGAAAAGAGCCGATCCCAAATGCTTGGGAGGCTGAGGCAGGAAGATCATCATGAGTTTGAGGCCAGTCTAAACGACCTGGCCTCCACATCCATGTAGCCTGAAGTACAAGGTGAGACCCTGTCTCAAACACCAGAGCGGGGAAAGAGTGGAGGGGGAAGTGGTGGGTTCCAGGGCCAGGACACCTGGGGGGAGGGGTGGGAGGTGACCAAAGTCAGAGGGGGGGGCAGCCTGGGGCTGGGGTAGATCCGAGGGGCCGTGGGAGATCTGGGATCTGGGGAGGAGGCTCTGAGGGCTTGGGAGGAGGCAGAAGGCTTGCTGGGCGGCATGCTCAGGGTCCCCGAGCCTGACGCCTGTGCTCCCCAGGGCGGAGACGACCTGGACCCCAACTACGTGCTCAGCAGCCGCGTGCGTACGGGGCGCAGCATCAAGGGCTACACGCTGCCTCCGCACTGCTCCCGTGGCGAGCGCCGCGCTGTGGAGAAGCTGTCTGTAGAAGGTGAGTGCCTCCTCTCAGGGAGTGTGTGTGTGTGTCCCTGTCGCTTCCTGTTTCCCAAACACCTACAGCCTGCGAGGCACATTGTGGGTGCTCGAATGTTTGGGTCCTGATAAGTCCCGCAGTCCCCCAGCTGCTCTTGGTCCTCGCAGTTAGTCATTCATTCAGCAAACATTTCAGGTTGGCTTGGTCATAGGTAGGGCGCTGGCACTCCGGGATGCACAAGGTGGGCGAATTGACGGGTCTCACAGAGCTCTCAGCATGGTGGGAAGAGAGGAAACTCGCACCAAGAAATTAGTAGTTCCAAAGTGGTAGGAAGCCAAGAATAGGGGCAGAGAAACAGGAAGGGGAGCCCCTGATAAGTGGGTGTTGAGACTTCACTGGGAGGAAGGACCTGGAGCAGGTGGAACAGCAGGTGCACAGGCCCTGGGGTGGCACTGTGTGCCAGGAACGGCCAGGAGTCCGCCGGGCTGGGGCAGTGTGACCGCGGAGGGCGGAGGTGCTGGGGCCACGCGGTGTGGGGAGCCAGGGAAGGGTTTCATACTGATGTGGGCCCCTCCAGCTGCCGATTCAGCGGGGCAGGCAGTGGGGGATCAGAGACCAAGGGCGCCCCTGACATGGCCCAGGGCTGGGGTCGGGACAGAGCGGGTGCTCCGGGAGCAGGGGCACCAGGACCTGCAGGGAGCCTGGTGCTGATACATATTTAACAGCCGCTCCCCAGGAGGAAAAATTCCTGAGTCGCAGTGACAGCCAATTTCGCTGGCATAAATTCTCTCGCTATGGCCAATGTTAAGCTGTCGAGGTGACAGCGCTGGGCGCGGGAGGAATGGCCCAGCATTGTGTGGGGTCTCCTCCGCCACGCAGGTACAGGAGAGGAGGAAAACTTTAATATTCATACAGTAGCTGTGATAGCACATAACACAGGGCGTTATGTACGTATATTTGTCTTGTTTCTTTTTGTCGTTGCTGCTGAGAGAAAATATCCACCACCCAGAGTTATGGAGGGAAGGCTTATTTTGGCGGACGGTTGGTGCAGGTCTCAGTCTGTAGTCGGCTGGCTCCAGGGTGGCATGGCAGGGCCTTGCAGAGGAGAGACAGTGTGTGGCGGGTGGAAGGCAGCAGAGCCACAGGCAGCAAAGGAATCGCCTCGCTGCTTGGTTCTGCCCTTTCATATTTTATCTAGACTGCTGGCTCTCTGGATGCGGTCACTTCTTGAATAGCCCCACCTATGGCTGCATGAGGCCTTGGTGGGGGCATCTAGACACAGGTCATCACGTTCTGCCCCTGACCCCCCAAAGACTCATCTACATCTCTTCATACAAAGGGCAGTTATCTATCTGGGGTTACTAAGGTCTTGACAGTTTTAGCACTGTTGAAAAGCCTGTTTAAAAGGCTTTTGAGATTGAAGGCAAATTCTTAGCTATGAATTCCTGTATCAAAAAAATTAAATACTTCAAACATTTAATGCTACAAGATAGACATTATGATTTAAAAAGGGATAAACAGAGGGATAGAAAGAAATGGGATTGAAGCAGGTCTAAAACCTAACAGGGCGGACATGAAGTCTTGTAGTTCTAAGTCTGGCAGGTGATCTACATTTTTGGGCTCTTTGAACTTTGGGGGTCCTGCTGCATCTTGGGCTCTATATTTACATCTTTGTATGTTACCCTGTCAGGGGCTCCCTGCCTGGCCTCCTGGGCTTTCTGACATCTGGATGGAAGTCTTTCTGTCCTCACAACTCTTGCATTTTGCACACATCCAAAATCAGTACCTGCTGCCAGGCATTTTTAGTTGTTTGTTTCTTTTTCTTTTTCTTGCTGTAAAAGTTGAGTGCTTATGAATTAAATCTTGCAAAACAACTTTTCTAGACTACTGCTATTTTTGAACATGTTTTTCTTTTCTTTTTTTTTTTTTTCCGGTACCAGGGATGGAACTCACGACTGCCTGCTCGCAAGGCAGGTACTTATGCCGCTGAGCTAAATCCCCAGCCCCCTGAACATGTTTTTCTGGGCCGCTATTTTTTCTTTTTTTGTATCAGGAATCGAACTCATGACCTCAAGCTTTCCAGGCAAATGCGGTGCCACTGAGCTACAGCCCTGTCCCCACCTCTTTTTTGAGAGGCTGGACTTGAACTTGTGGTGATTTTCCTATCTCAGCCTTCTGAGTGCTGGGATTACAGGCATGCACCACATTCTTGGGGTTCTCTTCTTAAAGCAAAGTTTTTTACTTTTGCAATTTTGAGGCTGTAAAAGGTGGAGTCTTATGCTTTTTGTGATGTATTGAAGCCATGTTTCATATCTTTTTAAGCAATCAAGTTTTCTTCTATTTTATCTTTGTATTCTACAGTTTTATGGTGCTTTTTTTTTTAAAAACCTATTTTGTTCATTGATAAAAAGAAAAAAAAGAACAAGAAAAAAAACTACAGCAATTTTTTTTTTTTTAAATCGGTACTGGGGATTGAACTCACGACCGCCTGCTTGCAAGGCAGGTGCTTATGCTGCTGAGTTAAATTCTCAGCCCCTCTACAACAAAATTTTAAAGTACACAAATCAGGGGGTAACAATGGTACTGTGTATTGTCATCTCCAGATCATTCACCCAGAGCACGAGACATCTGCCTTCAATTGTCTGAACAGTATCAGTACAAATCTTTCTCTTCAGCAAATCAGAGAAATCAGTAGTGTTGGTGCTTTTTCTTTGGACAAATTTATAACATTTTAAATTATTTTGTTGAGCTCTTTGTTCTTGATTTTTAACATAAATCTGGCTAAATTCCCACATAGTAGCCATGTCACTGCCCCAACATTAGACTGCTTTGAAATTATTTTTCTGCAAGATTAATTAGTCTGTCACTTTTTATCTTAGTTTTGGGCAAAGTCTCTGGATATGAACAAAATGTAGACAAGCTCTTTGCTAAGGTGTATAACACACACGTTCTGGAGTCTAATGGCCAATAAAGTCCTTGTTTTTCAGCATAAACTTCTTAAGCCTGGTCTTTCCCAGCTGCATTTTTAGCAGTATTTTGGTTTTCTGACCTCTGACTAGAATTTTCCAACAAGTACAGTGTCAGGCGCTCCAGGGCTACTGTTTTCTAGCTAGCATCTCTAAATCTTTCTTTCTTTTTTTTTAAAATTTTTAAATTTTTTTTTTTATCAGTACTGGGGATTGAACTCACAACCATGCGCTTGCAAGGCAGGCGATTATGCCGCTGAGCTAAATCCCCAGCCCCAATCTTTCTTAACTGTTCCCATAAGCCAGTTCCCACAGCTTTTGAACCACATGGTCAGGTATAGTCGCAGAAACGACCTCACTTCTGGTACCAAATTCTGTTTCAGTTACTTTGAGTGTGTGTGTGTGTGTGTGTGTGTGTGTGTGAAGATGGGGTCTCACCACATAGTTCAGGCTGGTCTTGATCTCAATATGTAGCCCAGGTTGGCCTCAGATTAGTGACAGTCACTGGCTTCAGCAACCTTAGCAGCATCTTTCTGCTCCTTTTATGTTTTATCTAGGCGATGGGGCTTAGGATAGGTGCCAAACCAATCACTGGACTGATCTAGTACTCACATGCCTTTAACCCCATCATCACATACTCTAGATCCAGGCACCTCTGAAGACCCCACCTGTAACTATATAAAATTAAAAAAAATTTTAATAGCAATATTACAATGTGTTAAATACACATAATGTAGCCAGGCATGGTGGCTCATGTCTGTAATCCCAGCACTTGGGAGGCTGAGGCAGGAGGATCGTTGGGAGTTCAGGACCAGCCTGCACTACAAAGTGAGCTCAAGGCCAGCCTGAACTGCATAGAGAGACCCTGTCTCTAAAAGACAAAAAAAAAGCGGGGGTGGGGGGTGGGGGGCTGGGATTTAGCTCAGTGGCATAAGTGCTTGCCTTGCAAGAGCACAGTCATGAGTTCAATTCCCAGTAACGATAAACAAAAAAGACAAAAAATACATATAATGTATAAATGTTACATGAATACTTATTGTATACATACAAATCTATTCCATATACACATATTTAAAACATGAATATATACAAATAGCAGTCTATTTTATTTATTTGTTGTTGTTTTTCGAGATACTATCTTGCTTTGTATTTCAGGCTGGCCTTAAACTCATTGTATAGCCCAGGCTGGGCTTGAACTAGTGGCAATCCTCCTGCCTCAGCCTCCCAAATTCGGGGATTACAGGTTTGTGCCACTATGCCTGGCATAGCGGTGTATTTTAGAGTAGGATTTACCAGTGGTCTCCAGAGGCCTGAGACTGACTCTGTGGTTACTAGTCAGCAGCAGACACTGCACATTGTCACCTGCTGGAGGGCTGGACAGAAGGGTCTGCTGTTTGTCCTTAGGAGCAGCCAGGGAGGGATCAAATTGGGGCCAGGTCTATACACTCACAGCATAGGTGCCTTCAGGATATCCAAAGGCTCAGGGTCCCCACACCCGGGGCAGGCTCTTAACCACCCACCGTGCGCTCCCTCAGCCCTCAACAGCCTGACGGGTGAATTCAAGGGCAAGTACTACCCTCTGAAGAGCATGACCGAGCAGGAGCAGCAGCAGCTTATTGATGACCACTTCCTGTTCGACAAGCCTGTGTCCCCACTGCTGCTGGCCTCAGGCATGGCCCGAGACTGGCCCGACGCTCGTGGCATCTGGTGAGCCCTTCACCCCCAGTTTCCTTTTCCTGCAGTGTCTTCTCATCCCCTGTGACTGTCTTCATGCCTCTGGCATAGTGGAGATCATGACCTTGCCCTGCACCCTGCTGTCTTGTGGTCTGCGTGTCATATTTTGCGAAACTTGGAACAGAGAAGTGCAATAAAGAATTGAGGCGAACCAGACTCCCGGGTCCCAAGCCCTGCTCTGTCACTTACTGGCTGTGTGACTGCACCTTCCAGTGATCCCGGCTACTGTGGAGACTGAGGTGAAAGGGTCACTTGAGCCCTGGACTTTGAAACCAGTTTGGGCAATGTAAGACTGTCTCAAAGTGTCTCAAATTAAAAAAGAGGGGAAAAAAGCTATTCAATTGCATGGCCTTGGTAAGCTGGCCAGTTTCTCCATCTATGCAGCAGGGATCACAATAATTCTTGGCTCTTGGAATTCTTACCAAGATTAAATAATTTATGTAATAAATTTTCTCCCCCAGTACTGGGGATTGAACCCAGGGTCTTGACACTAAGCTTTACCCTCAGCCCTTTTTTATTTTGAGACAAAATCTGGCTATGGAGTCCAGGATGACTGAACTCACTGTGATCCTCCTGCTTCAGTCTCCCGAGCGCTGGGATTACAGCTAGGTTCCCCATCTCTTTTTAAAATTTACTTTGTTCATTTTTAAATTTTGAGACAAGGTCTCACCTATATTACTGAATTTCTCGGACTGGCTTTGAATCTTGATCTTTCTGCCTTGACTTCCCAGAGTGCTGGGATTACAAGCTTGCACCACCACATACAACTCCCTTTTAGGTTTTAATGTTTTATGATTCTAAGCCTGTTTCCCAGGTACTTGGATTTGGGGTATTACAGATGTAGGGTCACTCAGGCTCAGCTACTCTGAAATCAAGCTCCTGGGGGCCAGAGCCTGAGATGCCAGGAGTCTGTAATTTTCTTTTAGTTATTTTCTTTTTATTTTTTGGTGCTGAAGATGGAACCCACGGCCTCCTGCATGCTAGGCAAGTGCCTACCACTGAGTGACAGCCCACTCCCAAGAATCTCTGTAATGTTGTCCAGACTAAATCCTTAAAAGCCTTCTGTCCCAGGCTGGGGGTTGTGCAGAGGCATGGCTTTCAAAGTCTTCGGGTTTAATTCTCTGTGATTGTTTGGAAACCCAACCACTCATCTCCTGCCCCTCAGGCCAGCCTTCTGCAGCGGGGGTGGGGGGGGTGTTATGTTTGGGCACTGACTCCTTGCCCTCTTGTCACCCCCACCCCAGGCACAATGATAACAAGAGCTTTCTGGTGTGGGTGAACGAGGAGGACCACCTCCGGGTCATCTCCATGGAGAAGGGGGGCAACATGAAGGAAGTTTTCCGCCGTTTCTGTGTGGGCCTGCAGAAGGTGAGCATCTGCCCCGCACTACTAATCTCTCCCCAAACCTGAGTGCCCTGCCTTCTAGAGCACACGCCCCTCCCGCGCAAGCCCCGCCCCTCCCCGAAGGCCCGCCCCCAGAAGCCACTTCCCAAAGGACCCCTGCTTCCTATGCTAGACCGGGTCCCTAACCTGAGCCCCGCTCTTAGAATCACTCCATTCCAAGGCCCCGCCCCTAATATTGGCTCCACCCCTATGCCCGAGGCTGGCCTATAAGAATCCGGCACCCTGAAAGCCCCGCCCCTTAGAATCCCGCCTCCTGTGCAGCAGGACCCTCCTGGATTCTCCCCCGTCCGCACTCTTTAGCTCTACCCCTCCAGACGGTCTCCATCTATGTCCACATGCCCTGTCCCTTTGAACCTGGCAATATTTTGTGGTGACCGCTGGTGCTAACCTTTGTTTCCTCCCTCCGCCGGCTCTCAGATCGAGGAGATCTTTAAGAAAGCTGGCCACCCCTTCATGTGGAATGAGCATCTGGGCTACGTGCTCACCTGCCCGTCTAACCTGGGCACTGGGCTGCGCGGCGGCGTGCACGTGAAGCTGGCGCACCTCAGCAAACACCCCAAGTTCGAGGAGATTCTCACCCGCCTGCGCCTGCAGAAGCGGGGCACAGGTGTGTCGGGGGCCTCTCCTGACCAGAGTCTGTGAGGTTGGGTGGAGCATCCCCTTGAATGTTGCAGTGGATAACGGCTGCCCTGCTGTGAAACTCAGTTTTTTCCCTGTAAAATGGGCACGAATGTCTATCTCAGTAGTATATCATCCCCTAATCTCTCTTGGGGCCTTAGTTTCCCCATCTGTAAATGAGGTGTGGTCAGAACTCAACCTCTGGTAGCCATATTGCCTTCCCTTCCCTCCCTTCCCCCCTCTCCTCCCTTTCTCTCTCTCTCTCTCCCTCTCTCTCTCTGTGTATGCATGTGTATTATGAGACAGGATCTCACTATGTGGTTCAGGTCAGCCTTGAACTATGTAGCCCAAGCTGGTCTTGAACTCTGTGTGATCCTCCTGCCTCAGCTTCCTGAGAGTGCTGGGATCACAGCCCTGTGTTTTGCTGTGTTTTCATGTTGAGTGGTTGGTGAGTGAAGTACCTATCATAGCTAAGGCTGGACAGGTGGGCCAAGTAGAGAGCCATTACCCAGTTTCTGTGCAGCCGAACCTGCTGGGCCAGGAACTGCATACACATGGCTGCCGAGGTTGTCCTGGGCACCTCCTGGCCACTGTGCTCCTGCTCATGCCCTGTCCTCTGCTCCCACAGGTGGTGTGGACACAGCTGCTGTGGGCTCCGTGTTCGACATCTCCAATGCAGATCGGCTGGGCTCGTCTGAGGTGGAACAGGTGCAGCTGGTGGTGGATGGTGTGAAGCTCATGGTGGAGATGGAGAAGAAGCTGGAGAAGGGCCAGTCCATCGACGACATGATCCCTGCCCAGAAGTAGGCACCAGCCTGGCTGCTGTCACCTGCAGGAGCCGCAGCCCACGGGAAGACCAGGCCCTGCACCCCTTGCCCTGGCCCCAGCCCCTAACATCGGCCCTTTTCTGAGTTCCTCCATCTCTCAGAGTCCAGCCAGTGGACTCCATCCTCTCAATTCTGGCTGATAAAAAAACCTCTTTCCCACTCTGATTTCCAGAGCCCTGCCCACCACAGGAGCTCAGGGTAATGGGGAGCACCCCAGCACACGTGGAGCTCCGCGGCTTCTCCACGTAAAACAATAAATGAATAAAAGCAATGGTGGCCTTAGCTGTGTGTGTGACAGTCGCTGAGAGCAGAGGAGGAGCGTGTTTTTTGCAGTTGGCGGCTGTGTCCTCAAAATGATTTCCCTTTCTAGATGTGCTTTATCCTCTCTCTAAAATGAGGTTAGAGTACAGACTAATCCCTGCGATGAGGCTGGAGGAAGAATCTGAGCCCTGACAGCTGTGGGCCACCCGCCATCAGACAGCGAAGCCTGGGCCCTCTCTGACTTCGGCTCTCAGTCAGGCAATCTCAGATCTCAAACATACAGGCCACAAAGGGGAAAAGGAGGCCCAAACCCACCTGAGTCTGGCCCCGAATCTCAGCACCTCCACCATTGTTAGGCTTTTCACTGGCTTCCTCCTGTTCACCCTGCCACATCCTCTACCGCTGCCAGCATTTTTTTTTTTTCCTTTTTTGGATCCAGGGTCTCACTATGGAGTCCAGGCTTCCCCTGAATTCACTGTGGAGCCCAGACCTTTCCTGAGTCTGGGGCATGGGTCTGAGCATTCTTATACAGTCCAGGGTGGGTCTTTTGGGGATTTTGGTCCCAGGAAAGAGCAGAAGGGTATCACGGCAGAGCAGCCAAGAATGAGAGCTCACAGTGGTCAGTCGGCAGCCAAATGCCTATTGTTGCTGGACGCGTCAGTAACTTCCACTCAGCCAAAGTGGTCAAGGGGTCCAGGTAAGGATATATTGGGTGGGCCCAAAAAGTGACACAAGTTTCAGAAATGTGGGCCAGAGAAAGTGGAAGCCAGATGCCTAAGGAACCTGGTAGAGACTTTGTTAAACTCTTAAGGGACAGATTAAGCCCCCTCAAGAAGTCCATCAAAAAAAAAAGTCCATCTTCTTATACGGAGGGGAAGATACAGACTCAAGGATGTGCCCAAGAGTTCTGAGGATCACCAATACAGGAAAGTTAGAAGATACAAGACCAGCTAGCCTTGGTGACCCAAGTCTGTCATCTCAGCACTCTTGGAGCCCGAGGCAGGAGGACCACAAGTTTGAGCCAAGCTTGGGGCTCCACTCAGCCAAACAGGTCAAGGTCCCATCTCAAAGTAAAAAGATAATAAAGGGCTGAGGATGTAGCCCAGTGTGAGAACCCCAGGTTTGATCCCTAGTGAAAGACGCCAGGATGTCCTTTACAACTTTATCACCAATTGCAGGCTGTGGAGCAGCTTTATCAGCTACTGCAGGCCCATTGCTATTGCTAGCTCCACGCCCAGAGGCCACGAGACCACACTCATGCAGGCACAGCCCCAAGCCGGCCAAATCCGCAGCTTGTGTATCTGCTAGTGACACATTCTCCACATTCTGCTGCATAAGTCACTTAAGTCCACATGAATCGCATCCTGGCATCTTTCCTGCCCCCATCCACCAGCACATAGGAAAAAACCTTTCTGCTGGATGTGGTGGAGCACGTCTGTCATCCCAGCACGCAGGAGGCTGAGGCAAGAGGATCTTAACGAGTTTGAGGCCAGTGTGAGCTTTAAGTACATAATGAGAGCTCATCTTCAGAGAAACAAAAACAGAATACTGTCCCTCCCTGCTCACACCTTGTCATAGATCTCCAGTGGCCCTGGAGGAAAATCCAGGTTCTCTCTGCGCCCTTCAAGGTCCCCTGACACTTTGCAGTGACTCTGCGTTCATCCTGAATCATGCGCCATTTGCGGATGAACCTGTGATCCTTCCAGTTACTGTGCACGCAGTGCCCACTGCCTCGGATGCAAGTCCCCTCCTCCAGGAAGCCTTCTGTAGTGCTGATCCACCTCTGAATGGTTGGTCTGGGGACGTATTCGCCTTAAATCACTGGGCTGTGAACTCCAGGAGGGAAACACTAGGCCGGCCCAGCATGGAGGACGCCTTGGGAGCCCTACTCGCCTCTCCCGCACACAAAAACTCCCACAGTCCCTTTGCGACTCAGAACACCTAGGGTGCTCACTTTGGCTCCAGGCCCTATGTGGACAACCTCCGCCTTCCCCTGTGGAAATCTGTCTGGCACCCGTGTCCCTTCTTGGCCTGGATGCCTTGACTCTTGGGGAAACCTCAAGTACGATATAGGTAAGGGTCTGGCCACTCTAGTCAGTGATTGGCTCAGGGATAATCACATGATTTATGTGGGCCAATCAGAGTGGTCGTTAGAGCTTGGCAACAAATTGATGAGGACTTCTGAGACAGAACCTACTAAAGGATAGGACAGTGGCACAGTGGGTGTCACTCCCGATGAAACTACTGGAATGACACTGATCAAGATGATGGGGGGTGGATGCTTGAGTCCAAGCATACCTGAAACTGTAACATAAGCCAGCACACACTGTTTTGCTTTGCCAGTGTAGGATTGTTAGTCTTCATACAGTATTTTTCTTGCTAATTCTTCACACAGGCCCAACCCAGCAGCCATGCTGAGATTACATACCGAGTTCTCTCAAGTTACACGATGCACTCCGACTTCTGTCGTGGCTTTTGTTTCCACTCAAAGGCTGGGAAACTCCTTTTTATCCTTCAAAACCCAAATCCACAATCAGCAACTAGTTTCTTTCCCAACCCTCCCGTTTTTCTTCTGGGTTCCACAGGACAATGGCTTCTTTAGTGCTTGTCCTCCATAGACAGGGGCTCCTTGTGTCTCCATGTCCAGTACTGGGGCTGGCACGGAGTAGGCACTGGTCAATGACTGTTTATTGAATAAATGTACTACTAGAGTAGGAAGAGGCTAGAGTCCAGTGTAACACGGCGGCGGGAGTGGATGAACAGGGGACCCACTGGAGGAACCTGGGGCCTGGCTGCTGAGGCTGAGTTCTGTCCTTCCCTCTTCCATGACCATCCTCGACCCTCACCCCCGCCACTCCTGTTCTGCAGAGCACCCCGAGGCTTAGTAGGAGCAGCACAGGCCGAAGTCAGCACCTCCTCTGCAGGCCAGGAGGACCCAGGCCGATGTAGGGGCCTCTCCAAAGTTTGTTGGGTGACAGGCTGCAGGTGAGGGGCCGACAGAAGGGTGGGGGTAATAACTTAAAAACCGGAGGTGACAGCGGCAGCTCCTCGGGAGACCTCTGCAGAGGGGGACAGGTGGTATTTACAAGGATTTGTACAAAGTGCCCGTATACCAGCCTGGGGCAGAGGAGGGGCATGAGCACGGGGGGTGGGGGTGGGAGGGGAAGAATTGGCCTCTCTGGCCCCCCACTGCCGTTCCCCAATTCACTAGTCTTTAGGCTCAGCAGCTTTCCCTGCCCCTGCCCAGGATCTAATTTCTTGAGCTGTTGGGAGGAATGGAAGTTTCTTCAGTTTCCCTTCCTGCTCCTGGCCTGTCCCCAAAGTCTTTTCAGGTGCTCCACGGCAGGGCAAGGGGGACAGGACTAGATGGAGGTTCCAGGAGGGTGCCAGCTCCCACCGCCAACTCTCCCACCATTCTGCCAGGAGGCCCTAGAGAAGAGCCGAGGGGACAATCTCTGCTCCCAGGCTAACCCAGGGAGACCAAAGGCGACCAAAAAGGGAGAGAATCCCCTCCCTGTCCCCTCTTCCTCCTGCAGAAGTGAAGAGAGCAGAAGAGAATAAAGGGAGCCCGGGCCACGGAGGCTCAGAGCTCGAGGTCGTTGGAGATGCGGGTGACGAGGGTGCGGAAGGCCAGGGCGGTGCCCGCCACGCGGCGGAAGAGCACGCCCCGCAGGCCCGGCCGGGGCAGTTGGCAGACTTCCACTTCGAAGTGGGACAGGGGCTCGGGCCCGCCCGCACCCCCGTGCAGGCAGGCCAGCAAGAAGGGCTGTGGCTGGCGGCATCGGCAGCGGGCGGCCGCCGTGGCCTGGCGCAGAGCTGCCATCAGGGCCTCGGGAGGGCGCGAGCTGGTCAGCTTCACACTCCAGGGGAATCGGAGCAGCCGGGGGGCGGTTTCCGCTTGATCCCAAGGTAGATGGCCACTGAGCAGGAAGACAGGGGAGGTCAGAGACTGGGGAAATGGGAAGGCGGGCTGGGAGCTGGGGGCACACCTGGGACACACAGTAGGCTGTTCCCTTCAAAGTCATTTTCCCTAGTGAGCTTCAGCTGAACCACCTCAGGGATCAGCCAGCCTTGGCCTCGTGGTTAGTGTGAGAAGTTTCTCTCGTATTTGTGAATATTACTGAGCAGCTGAGTCCATTTCCTTCTGAAGATTGTCTCTTCCTTGGGAGACCAGGGATTCTCTCCTGGACTCTGCACTGTCTTTGTTCAAAGGGGTGCTTGGAAATTTCCGGGGGCTTTCCAAGTGTTTATTAGTCTGGGTGCAATCTAGGTCAGGAATGATAAATGTTCTACACTGTGCAGTACAGCCCTGTATAAAAGATCCATCGTCTTGAGAAGCCTTCTGATCTAGGCTCTCTGCTTTTGACTGTGATGACGCTGCCCCTCACTACCAAGGCTGAGTAGTAACTTTGTTCTGGACAAAGACAATGGTCTGTTTCCCTGGCCTCTGGGATTGGGGCAAGAATGAACACATGATCAGATCTAACCAATCAGAGCGCTTCACCCTTTTGGCCATAGGCATTGGCTTAGAGATGAGCATGTGACTTCACCCAGCCAATGAGAATCGTTCCTGGGAAGTTGCAGGAACTCCTGGGAAGGCGCTGGTCTCTACTGGGGTCTCTAAACTGGTACAGTGTGAAACTAAAGCAAGGCTTGGCACGAACTATGGCACTGCCTGCTTTAGTAATGGAGTTTTACTCGCATATAGCCACACCCGTTTGTTTTTGTATTGAATATGGTTGCTCTAAATGGCAGAGACTGTTGGACTCTCAAAGCCTAAAATATTTGTCTGGCCTGGACTATTTGGCCAGAGCCACCAGCAATGCTTATCCTTCAAAGGGAGAGAGATGGAAGGGAGGAGGGTGCCAGCAGGAAGGGGCGCTGGGTTGGCGGTGCACTGAACCTGGTGCTCAGGATGATGGGATGGGGGTAGAAAGGACAGGAATCATTGCTGGTGTGCCAGGGAGGGTCATGGGGCATTTTAGGATGCTGGTCTTGGAGAAAAGGAGACATGGGTCCCT